TTAAGAAAAAAAAAATGTCTAGTCAATGGGGGCAAATGAGTATTTAGGTAAGTTATTAATATAACTATTGTTAATATAACTATTACCATTTTTATTATTATTTAATTATTGTATACTAGCTGATCCCGTGCACTTTGTTGCCCGTTAAATGTATCAACTCTATACGACTCAAACTTAAATATAATTGATATTTAATAAGTTAAGCAAATATATTTACTTTTATTATTATTATTATTATTATTATTATAGCTTAAAAACCCATGGCAACCATTTATAAACAAAAATTTCCATCTGAAGTCTCAAAATTCCCGTTTCAAAGTAATACAAATTATAGATAATGAAATTCATTAAAGAGATATTTCATACAAATGTTTAAAAAAAAAATTATTTTGAGTGAATTGTAATAACACTTCAAACTATACCTAATTGTGTATCTTATATAATTTTTGTATGTAAAAATATTTTAATATTATTATGTAATTATCATAGTTCACAAATTATATTAAATTATAAAGTCTTTACTCTTAAGAGTATATTATTCAAGTCTATGAGAATGTCTTCTATTTAGGCAAGTTTTCGTCGGGCCACAGTCAGGCAAAACCCGTTTGTTGCCTCTACCGAATAGTTAATTATCTGTACACTGGCCATGTAGTATTGGCTCACCCTTACGGACAAGTCAGTCTTACACTTACAAATACGGTTCTTTACTTGTACAAAGTATAGAAAGTATTAATTAACCAATATTCTGCACGCATGCAAATGTAAGATTCTGTTGGATCTTTTTAGTAGGTATACCAGTTGTCCTGTTACTAGAGTTAAAAAAGTATTGCAAAGAATTGCATCACAATTCACAACTGCTGTTTGTGACCAACAACAAGTATGCATTTCGAGCATCATTCAAAGACTTGTTTTTATTTAACCACAACAAATACTCATTCCCAAGTGTTTGCTGTAACTTTGTTAGTACATACAGATTTATTTCCAAATATCATTCATCTGTGGTTTATTTGAAAAATATTTAACAATTATAAGCTGAATACTGGGATAAATATTATCATCATTATGTTTAAATAGCTCGTAAGCAATTGTTTCACCTGTATCGGCCAATTTATCTTTTATATTCATTTCTACAATATTTGTGTCATTTTGATATGGTTCAAAATCCGAATTCAAAATGTTGTTGGGTCATTGATCTTTTTGACTCATTTATCTAAACAAAGGTGAAAAGAATAGTAATAAAAATGGAAAGTATATTTAATCTCTTACCAATTAAATATGTTTAGGTTACAACTATTTTTCTTGTGACAGTTAAGTATACATTGGCTAAGTAAATAGGTTTTATAAATTTCTATTATATAAGATTCAAATATTATTTTGATTGAAATGGCCAAATACTTGTCCCATATCTCATCGATATCAAGTATTGACAATGCAACATCGTATCTATTAAGGCATTTTCTAAGAAATACATACTCATGAATAAAAATCAAATTAAATACATCATACACATTAATAATTTTATAAAGTAATTTCATACTTAATTTTTGTTTTTCTTTGCTGTTATATTTATTCAATAGTTCATTTATAGCTTAAGTATCTCAATAGTTTGGATCCATGGCAAATATTGTCAAAATAAATCTGTAAAAAAAATACAATAATACAAAAATGTTTGTTTTTTTATTATTGTCAGAAGAGTACAACACAAGAGCGTGTTGTCTCCATTTTTCAAATATACATCATACATAATTGGTGTTTAACAAAATCAATTTTGAGATGTAAGCTTTAATATTAGATTGAAATAACCTATTATAACATATAAAGGTACAAATAGTATTTATGTTTAAACGTTTATTTTTACACTATTCAATTTTAACTGAGTTTGGAAGAAGTAAAATATGGAAATATAAAAAAGTGGGCAAGTGGGTGTCGCTCTGCTATACAGTAGTTTACAAGTGGGTCACTGTATAATGGATGGTATTACATTTGAATTCAATGATATTATATCATTGTATAAGAAAAACGATTCTGAGCTGAGACGGTTATAAGACTAGGTATAAGACATATTATATACTTATCTATGGTATTCAAAAAAATTGACCTATAATGAAATCCAAATTAATCATATCAAAATATCCATTAGGTACTTATAACGCGTTACACACCAACAACAAATCCTGATACTATCATAGATATATAATAGTGTACTTTATTTTTTAGATTCTTTGGTTACAGTATGAACTATTTAAGAGAACCTTTGTTTTAAAATTGTAATCCTTAGCTATAAAAACTAAACATTTTATAATTTATTAATTACAATTAGTGATAATTTTCGATTAATTTTGATGAATTTTGTCAAAATTCGATCTTTAAATGCTTATAAAAAAAATTGTGCCTATGTATTTTTAATATTTTTCAATTTCTATTGTAACAATATGTCAGGAGCCTTGTATTAAATTTTTACACTTTTTGGCCCAACAGATACAACTTTATAAATATTTATAGAAAAAAAAAACTAAAAAAAATTGAAAGCTGTAAATGACCGTAAACAGCTCAAAAAGAGTCAAAATTTTTTCAAAATTATATGGTGTAGAGAAAATGCTAATTTAAACATTCAGTGAAATTTTCAAGTATCTACAGTTATTCGTTTTTGAATTACAACAAAATAAGGAAATCGCTACTTGATAAATCGAGTGAATATCCAATGTTGTAAAAATTATGAAATTCAAACGCTCATAAAAATGTAATTTGATTTGCTTGTAGACATTTTTTTTGTTGATAAAGGTAGATAATCTTATAAGGAATCTTGTATTACATTTTCAAATCTTAGATTTAAAAAGAAAAATTTTTACGAATTCTTAACTCAAAATAATTTGCTAATTTTCGTGATTTTTCCATATTTTGTCAATTTCTGAACTTTAAATGCTTATAAAAAAAAATTGTCCTAGTGCCATTATAATATGTCGTTTCTTCGTTCCCGCTATTGCAGCGGTTTGTTTTGTCCTTCTTTTATAAATTTTTATTTATTCAGTAACGCGCATTGAACGCATAGTTTTTGTATGTAAATTATTATTATTTTTCAGTAACTTGCACTGAGAGCATAGTTTATCAACCATTATTATTATTTGTTGAAGCGCATTGAGAGAGCATAGTGTTGAACTTGAACCTATTATTGTTATTCAATTACTATACATATTATGCATATTCATTGTGAGGGCAAATAAAGAAATATCTCATCCAGTACCCGGTCTCATAAGTTATTGTCACCTTATATCACCTCATAATTTCATCCGATCAACTTAGCCTTTACCGATTACTGTGGGTCGCTGTCCTCGAGTTCGCGTCACCCGCACGAGAGTGTCAACGCGTTAGTCAGCCAGCAACGGGTACGTTTGTGTGGTAGGCCACCGAGGACATCGAGAGCAGCGTCGCCCTCGAACTTCCGTCACCTCAAGACGCCAGCTGTATATTATATGTATACCTAGTGCCTTAAGTTAGTCAGTAAGCCTCCAACTATTATAATTTTACCTTGTGGTCATTGCACCAAAACCGGATCGCCTCCGATCCCCATAACTAACTTGCATTGTCCTCAATCCCTGCATGTACGTCACCTCGCATCCAGTGTCGTCGTCGAGGTGAGAAGGCGTGTATAAGTTAGTAGGCGCCATCGAAAATATTCCAATTTGGTATTTCTTTCTCGGTTCGCACCGAGTGGTCCTTCGGTCTCTCACGCAAACTATTCAGTTTAGAAAAAAAATGATATAAGAAACCTCAATACCTATCATTTTTGAAGACTTATCCATAGATACCCCACACGTATGGGTTATATTCTGAGTGTGTGTATCGAAGCAGGAGTTAAATATATCTAGTTATTTAATCTGTGTAAAATACAAGTAAATTTGTTATACGATATAATTAATTTTATAATGCATTAATTAACTCCTAGTAAACTCCAAAACTTCAGAAATATTGTGTAGAACGTGCTTTTATAAAAATCAACAAAATCGTACTAATATAAATTAAGTTATAAATGAAAAAGTGCAAACTTTTTAATGGAAATTTATATTAAATTCAGAATCACTGTAGCCGCAGTCGTTGCCAATGTTACTAACAATATTACATTTTTATAGATTATGTTGTAAATACTCAATATTTAATAACTATGAAAATTAGTGATACCACAACAAAAACCCTTCGTAAACTACCTACTTGTAAAAATGGCTAAGTAAAAAAAATATAAGATCATTAAGATGTAAAGATGTGATATAATGAATAAAATATGCTAAGTATATTGAATTTAAGTAAACTTAATTTGTTTCAATAATTTATTTACTTGGCGATGAATTATTTAGAATAGTATATATAATATCAACTGCTCTTTTGTATATTATTAAAATTATATAAATTTATTTTTGTTTCTTTTTTTTTTAACAGTGGCTTCACGTACAATGATATAAATTGGGGAACAATACATTATTATATAATACATACTTATTATATTTAAGTACATTTTTACATGGAAATGAATGACGTCTGTATTGTTTATGTAAAAGAAATTCAAGTTTTATGCAGTAAAAAAACTTCGAAGAAAACATAAATAATGTTCTTACTATCAAGTTTCATAATAGGTCGATTCACTCGAATTTTTAAGCTAACGGCATAAAACTTGGATTTCTGAGCTTACATTTGGTATGTTACGCATTTGTAAGACGGAGACAACACATGCGGGTGTGGCGTCCTCTTAATGGTTGTTATAGGTATATATAAAAGTATCTCCTCGTCGTCGTAAGTGTCAATACTATTTAGGTACAAAATAAAAACAATCGAAAATAAACCAAATTTATTAATTATTTAACAAACATCAATAATATCGTCAGACATTAAACATAATGTATACGGCATAGTGAGTGTACAGCCGATAGATATTGCAAGATGAAGTTCATTATTATAACTGTATAGTGTATATGTACATATTATTACATAGGAACAAAAATATTATTGTTTTAATACTCCAAGGACTTAAACCCATCATTTTTCTGCTTATTGTTTGTATTTAAATTTGTATTTTCATCAAACGGAAAATTGACATCGAAGAGCATTCCAGATTGGTTGTGCGTCGGCGTCGTCCAGAGCTTTGCGTTTTTTGACAGTACCTTGGCCATTGATTTAAAATAGCACATATATCCGTTACTAATCAATAGATTGAACGTTGACATTATTAACTGAAACACAGTGAAATCGTTACGAAAGAAAACATATTACATCGATGGTTGCGACTTTAACGCCCGACCAAAGTAGCTGACAAAAATGGACTTTTTCGGGAAAAATTATCAACAAAAAAATAACATGAATACTCGAATTGCTTAGAAACGTGTTTAGTCCAACTGAATAATATTTTAATAATTCCGGTAGTCTTCGAAAGCGTAGGGGAATACAAAAAAAGTGGAAGTCGCTCTGCTGTACAACAGTAGGTTACAAGTGAGTCACTGTAATGGATGTTGTTAAGTTTAAATTCAATGATATAATAATATATCATTGTGAACGGAAAACGTTTCTGTTGTAACGGGCTGTGACTACGTACATATTAATAATAGTAATAATATATAAAATAATAAATTATATTATGCTGTATTAAGTATAATACGCTTATAATATAATATATTATATTCAATAACAGATATAAATGCTGCAGGGGGCACGTAACCCGATAATAGTAATAATATAAGGGTCCGGGCAGCCACATCGATAAGAGCACAGAACTAATTAATGGTACAGCGCGAACCCTGATAGGTATACGCGCACATTATCCATATTCTAAGAAAGACGAAAAAGCCGTAAACAACAAAAATAGATAACTTTGAAAACATATAATCCCCAATTAACATTATTTCGTAGAGGACGCCGAAATGACGTCAGGTGTACGCGGCTATGTACCATTTTTATACTAAAAATGCCATAGGAGGGATCTAATAGGAATACCGACGAAATACGTCGATGGACAAGTGTCCATCAGACCAACATCAGCCGAGAAGACGAGCACCAGCGGAGCAGCCACGAAGTCGATACTAAGTCACATCCCGTTTACCACATTTTTATAATTTAATTATTTGAACTTAGTCTATTTTAGGTGTTAAATAAATACAACTGAACTATCATTATAAAATCAACTTATTATTTAATTCAAAATACCATCAGAACTGAGTTGAAGTGGTTGGCACGTTACACTGTGTAGACGCTTTTTGTCAGTCTAGAATATTATTTTATTATATATGTATATTGTTATTATTAATACGTCGGCACCCGGTAAGTTTAATTAATAAGGTCAGTGAAGTTATCCACACAATGTCAAAATGTTGGCTCCAAATTTCGTCAATAATCTGTAAGTCATTTGTAAGTATTTGTATGCACAATTCGGTAATTTGTAAGTACAGCTGAGCCGTTTTCAATTATCCTCAAAAGTTTAAATCATGGCTAACTTCCTCGAAACATGGGAGTTTTGGCATTTCAAAGTTTTTGACTTCTCCAAATCGTCTTACGCAATTTGTAAGTATTTTTAAGTCACAATTCCTTAATTATCAATAAAAATAAGTTGGCTGTGAAATGTCAAGCTTTTTGAACTTTAATTGCTCCAAATCTTAATGCGCAAATTGTAAGTATTTGTACGCACGAATTTAAAATTTGAAAGTCATCCCTTAATTATTTTTTCCCAAAAAGAAGTTGGTCGAAAATTAATAAAAGAGCCTACTTAATTAAAAAAATATCTTAATAGGATAAAAAATTAAATAGAATAAGAAATCAGCTAAATAAAAATTAATATCAAATAAAATTTAATTTCAATAAAAAAAAAAGGTACTCTGCTGTACAGTTGGTTACAAGTGGGTCTCTGTATAATGGATGATATTAAATTTGAATTCAATGGTATAATATTATTGTAGAAGAAAAACAATTCTGAGCGGAGACGGTGGATGATCTACTTTTCCGCCAAAATCGACCTTACCATTTACCGCCAAGTCCGTTTACCGCCAGTGCAATAATATATATTTCCTTTTTCCGCCACTACAAATTTCAGTTTTTACATTTTGGTAACCCCTTACCATGTAAACAAGTGAAGTTATTGATAATAATTGGTAATGATTTTTAAAATAACAAAAATGTCGATAAAAACTATTTTTAAAGTGAGCATGAAATGACTCACAGGCATTTGTTGTGCGTGTAAGTTCTGAAGATGCAAGTGCCCAAAGTTTTGGAGGATAAATACAATCTTCAGAAATATATGTTTCTACAAAATAGTCAGCAAACTAATATTTTTTCTGATTCTATTTATATCGTTAATAGTTATATCTGAGGAATTACTATTTTGTACAATTTCAGTTAGAATAATTTTTTTTGCTCTGGTACTTACATTGTCAATAGCTTTTCTTTTACAAGCTGTAATGGAGAAAAAACAGTAAGGTCGATTTTGGCGGAAAACGATGACGCCCGAGACGGTATGTGAGTCTAGCTATAAGACATAATATTATATTATACTTATCTATGGTATTAAAAAAAAAATTACCTATAATAAATTCCAAATTAATCACATCACAATATCCATTAGTTACTTGTAACGCGTTTTACACCAACAACAAACCCTGATACTATTATAGATAATATATAATAGTACACTTTAGAAGTTTCAAATACCCACGAATAATATTATACAATCACAACAAAATAACTAAAATGGTTATTTTAGTTTTTTTAATATGTAATTTTGTCCAAATTTGAATTAAAATTGACTATAAAAATAAACTGTGCTTGTGTATTTTTTAGATTTTTTGGTAACAGAATTAACTAAATATGTGGAAATCTTGTTTTAAATTTCCAATCTTTAGATATAAAATTTGAACATTTTATAAATTTTTAACCACAAATAGTTATTCAATTTTAAATTTGATACATTTTGTAAAAATTCGATCTTTAAATGCTTATAAAAAAAAATTGTGGCTATGTGTTTTTGATATTTTTCAACTGCTATTGTAACAATATTTTAGAAGCCTTGAATTAAATTTTTACACTTTTTGGGAAAACAGATATAACTTTATTGATATTCATAGAAAAAAAAAAAAAAAAAATTGAAATATGAAATTGTTCGTATACAGCTCAAACCAAGTCAAAATATTTTAAAAATGTTATCAAGTATAAGAATTAATAAAATAAACATTCAGTGAAATTTTATGTATCTACAGTTATTCGTTTTAGAATTACAACAAAATTAGAAAATTGCTACATGAGTTATCGAGCGAATATCCAATATTGTAAAATTATGAAATTCAAACGCTCATAAAAATGTAATTTGATTTGCTTGTAGACATTTTTTTGATAATGGCAGATAAACTTATTAGTAATCTTATAATACATTTTCTAATCTTAGATTTAAAAAAAAATTTTTACGAATTCTTGTCTCAAAATAATTTGCTAATTTTCGTGATTTTACTATATTTTGTCAATTTTTGAAGTTCAAATGATTTAAAAAAAAAAAACTGTGACTAAGGATATTTAATATTTTTCAAATTTCAATATAACAATATATTAGGAGACTTGTATTACATTTTCAAGCTTTTTTACATAATGAATAAAGTTTTATCGTCATACTTTATAGGAAAAAAATTTAATACAATTTTAAACAGTTCAAAATAAATTAAAATATTTTGAAAATGTTATCATGTATAGAAAATTTAAATATAAACTATATCAGTGAAAAACTCATGTATCATTTGTTTTAAAGTTACACCAAAAACCTAAAAATTCCCGTTTTTCCTTAATTTTTCTTTTGTTTTTCTTGGTGATTTTGAAAATTACTAGGAATTTTAAATTTCGACCTTCCCAATGCACCAACAATATTCACTTTATAATCGAAAAAAATACATTGGATATTCACTCGATTTCTCGTTTACCGATTTCCTTATTTTGTTGTAATTTAAAAACGAATGACTATAGATACATGAACATTTTACTAAATGTTTATATTTTCATTTTCAATACATCTTGATCTTTGTAAAAAAGCGTGCAAATTTAATGCATGGATCCTGATATATTGTAACAATAGCAGTTGAAAAATATTAAAAATACATAATATATTATGCACAATTTTTTTTTATAAGCATTTAAAGTTCGAATTTTAACAAAATTAATCATTTTTAAAATTTAATAATTATTTTGTTGTTAACAATTTATAAAATGTTCAACTTTTATAGCTAAGGATTAAAAATTTAAAACAAGGGTCCACGTAAATTGGTAAATTTGTAATTTACAGAAATTACTTTAGTCACAATAATATCATCAAATATACTTAGTAATGCCATAGGCTGACTGACTGCATTCGCTCAAAATCGTTTTTCTTATACAATGATACTATATCATTGAATTCAAATGTAATACCATAAATTATACAGTGACTCAATTGTAAGGGCGTATGTAATTTGCACCAAAAACAACCAAAAAAAAAAAAAATACGTAATCTGCGCCATCGTTTACCTACACAAATTGTAATTTGCGCCATAGTTCACCTTATTGAAATTGTAATTAGTGCCACAAATAAAACGAATTTTCGTTTAGTAATAAAACATATAAAAATCAGTCATATCATAATTATAAATAAATGTATACAAGTACAACGAACTCCATGTATATTAAATAATTAAATTTTCGTTTAGTAATAAAACATATAAAAATCAGTAATACTCAGATTCGCATAGAACTTTATACCTAACTAATAGAGACCATATGTCTATTATCAGTAGAACACAACAATATTATATTGGACACACGTCGGTCCTTATTAATTATTATTGTATATCCTATGCGATATCAGTAAATTTATCTGCTGGTAAATTAAAATAATATTGAAGTTGAAACTGTGACTTTTATGTCTTAGGATTGAAAATTTAAAACAAGATTCCACGTAAGTAGTTAATTCTGTTACCAAAAATTCTAAAAAATACATACTCACGGTTTATTTTTATCGTCATTTTAAGTTCAAATTGTTATGAAATTACATAAAAAAACCAAGAATAACTATTTTAGTTATTTCGTTGTGATTGTACCTATAATATTATTCGTGGGTACTTGAAATTTCTAAAGTACACTATTATATTACAGAGTTGATTAAAAACATGATTTTTTTAAAAAAATCAAAAAAATTGTTTTAATCGTTTAAAACATGATTTTTTTGTTTAAAACATGTTTTTTTTAAATTAATTTTTCAGCTGTTTTAAACATGTTTAAAACATGATTTAATCGAGTTTAAAACAAAATATATAATTTATTTTTAAAAAAAAACATTTATTTAATAATTTAATATCATAATTTGTTTATAACTTGACGTGTAATTTAAGTTTTTCACCACGGCTATCGGTTTTATACTTAAAAATCGTTTTTGAATATTTTGATAATGATTGATGATAAAGACCTGATCTGTTCAGGGCAATACAGTTCTCCTACACATTGATAAGAATCTACTTGGAGGAAATTAAAATTTTAGATAATACCAACTGTCTTTTTTCAGAAAATTGATAGCAAGGAATTTAGTATTATACAACCACACCCACTGTACTTATGATACAAGTTACAACAATTTAAGTACCAAATAATAATAAATAACCATAATAATAAATAACCATTAAATGGCTCAAAAGCCTTTATAAATATATTTAACAATTTTACAATATTATTTTATTATGCATACTACATATAAATTATACAATATACTAATAACTCATGAGTATTTTATTGTATTTTGCATAAATTTTTATGTCAGTTTTGAACTTGTCGATATTTTTAAACCAATATTCCATATTTATCATACTATATTTGTTGATAATTAGGTCCTTTGGAATATTTAACCGTTTATAATTATTGATTTTATATGTTTAAAACGAATTTGTTTGCATCTTAGTTTTTAAACAACTGAGAAGAAAATTTAATTTGAAAAAGATATTTGTATAATTAATAAACATAATATAATTATATTATTTTCTTATATTATATAGTAATATAGTTTTAAAGTATATTCTGAATGCTGATTATGATTTTAATAAGCCATTGTTTGTAATTCCATAAACAAGACATATTATAAAATATAAATTAATTTATTTCAAAAATAAAAATAAAATCTACCTCCCATTCTCCCGTTCATTTGCCGCTTATCATTTTCTGATAAAATGGTAGTCGGTATTCAGATTTTGATTTTCCATAGTTGGTAACATTGGGGTAGTCCGTTCTTATTGGTTGTAGGAGAACTGACCCCATCTCTGATCTGTTACCTATACATTGTGATAAAGAATACTGATTACTGCAGTATTTACTATTTTAAATTTTGGTGGGTTTGCGCCACAATATTTCCGATTATAAAATATGATAAAGGTAAAAAATATTAAATAATAATATGATATGATATCAATGAAATTTAATTTTGATGTTATTGAGTTATTCTTCTGCATCTGACATTATTACAATACTACATTAGCGACAGTGTGAAACAAAATAAAACTTAAAAGATAAAAAACATGTTCACGGGACGAAGGCGTGCAGATGACATTTGGAAATATTATAGTGAAGTTTCTAATAAATAAATAATTAATAAATATATTACCTACAGAACTACAGAAGTAATATATTATTATTATATAACCATTGAAGTGTTAGTAATTTAAATAAGTAAAATTATCATTATAGGTACATTTTATAAATTTTAAATTTGTTTATGAATTAAAAAATAATAATAAATAGGAGTTGCCAGTACGAACTTACAAATAATAAGTTATATGCACATAAATTATGATTTTCTGTTTTAAATTAGCTGTTTTTTTTATGTTGTTTAAATCATTTGTTTTAAACGTTTTAAACAAAACCATGTTTGATCAATTTAGATGTTTAAAACATGTTTTAAACAAGTGTTTAAAACAAAATGTTTTATATATCTATGATAGTATCAGTGTTTGTTGTCGATGTATAACGCTTTATAAGTACCTAATGGATATTGTGATATGATTAATTTGGAATTTATTATAGGTACCTATAATAGGTCAATTTTTTTTAATACCATAGATAAGTATATAATATCCCTTATACCTAGACTGACATATCATCTCCATTCAGAATTGTTTTTCTTATACAATGATATTATATCATTGAATTCAAATTTAATATCATCCATTATACAGTGACCTACTTGTAACCGACTGTACAGCAGAGCACCTTTTTTAAATTTAACTAGGCTCTTTTATTAATTTTCGACTAACCCCTTTTTAGGAAAAAATAAGAAAGGGATGACTTAAAAATGTTAAATTTGTGCTTATAAATACTTACAAATTGCTCGTGATGATTTGGAACAGTCTAAGATAAAAGAGCCCGACAAACATGGCCAACTTCCTTTTAGGGATATAATTATGGGCGGGATGACTTAAAAATTCTAAATTAGTGCTTACATATACTTATAAATTGCGCATGACGATTTGGAGAAATCAAAAACTTTTAAATGCCAAAACGGCTATGTTTCGCTTAAGTTATAAAGTTATAAGTGATTTAAATTTTTAAGGATAATGGAGAACGGCTGTACTTACAAATTACCCAATTGTGCTTACAAATACTTACAAATGACTTACAAGTTATTTACAAAATTTGGAGCTAACATTTTGACATTGTTTTTAAACCTTCAAGGACCTTAATTAAAAAAATATTATCAAATTCAAAAATATTTACACATAATAATATCCTTCACAAGTTGAAAGTAGGTGCTCACGAATAATATTTTTATATTACAACAAAATTAGTAAAACCATTATTCCTGTTTATTTAATATTATGTAAGTAATCTCGTCAAAATTTGAAAAATAACTATGATAATAAAACTGTGTTTATATATTAGATTTTTTGGTTACAGTATTAACGTCTTATGTGGAACCTTGTTTTAAATTGTAATAATTTAACTTTACGATTAAAATTTTATTGAAATTTTTTTGGAAAAAGACAAAAAAAATTTTAATTTAAAATGTCCTTAAACAGCTCAAAATGAGTTAAAATATTTTGAAAATGTTTTCAATTGTAGAAAATATTTAAAATTAACATTTGGTGTAAATTTTAAGCATTTATTGTTATTGGTTTTTGAATTACAACAAAATAAGAAAGTTGTTGTATAAGAATTGGTTGATTTACTGCTGAATATCTAATGTCCCTAATGAATAAAAAAATTAACTTTGACTTTCTGGTAAAGTTATTGTTTAAGTTAAATGTAGAAAAATTAACGAAAATCTCGTATTCAACTTTCAAAGCTTAGATAATAAAAATTTATTTTTTTTATGAATTTCTAATTCGAAATAGATTCCCTGCGACTTAGGGAAGGTTATGTTAGGTTAGGTTAGGTTAGGTTAGGTTTTTTTTTCAACCCCTATTATAAGTACATCATACATGGTTTATTTTTTCAGTTTACGAAAAAAAGAGATTTTTCTTTTGTTTATCTAAATTTTTGCCATCTCAGGTTACATATTTGATATTATAATAATATATTACCTACTATTATAATGATAAGAAATATGGTATATACCTAATTTTTTTCACAAATTTATTTATTATAAATACAAATCGTTGTCCCTATGCAAGATAGTCTGGACAGTCTAGCTGTTATAATATTATATTTATTTAAATATTATTTTTTGTAAAAATATTCAAATATTATATCAGTATAACCATTATTAATATTATTAATAATTAGGTATTGTTTATGAGAATATTATAAATCCTTTATACATTTCGAAAATGTACCCTCTATGAATACCGGACACTTCAGAATTATAGCGGACGAAATTTCGGGGACCGGGAACGTCCATTATTCAGAGGTTTCACTGTAAATCCAACTAAAATTACCCGATAACAATTTATGTACCAACCAACCTTCAATATTTCGGCTTTATCGTTCCCTTCATAGGATTCGTCGAAATATGACCCGTAACGGTATTTCCAAAATTCGACGTTGTCCAGTACCTTTTTCAAAGCCTATAGACAACAGTTAACAGAAATTTCGTTACGACTATCTACCGGCACGTTATATTTTACAATTAGCCTTTATGATATTGAACTAAAACGCAATTTTTTATATTTACTTTCTTAGAGCTCTGGTGTTTTTCGCTCAAGACTATGTTTTCCTCCGTCAGCTTTTTGGCATTTTCGACATTTGAGTTGTTGGACAAAATATCCTCTATCATAAGGGTTTTGCACATTGACTTGTAGTATTTGTCTTTTTTTCCACTTTCCAATATCTGCAATTAGTTGAACTATTATCAATATATTTTTTTGCTCGATTACCGTTCGTTGTATAAATGTTTAATTTATGGAATCAGCCGGTAATCGACGTGATATTTAATAATTATTAAATCAGTTGGTTATTAGTAGCCGTAGTGTAAAGTCGTCCGTAGTACTCCGTTACTCCGTAATCACGAGTGTTTTTAATTTAATTTCAATGCATTCCAATAATAAAAATACTTCACCTCAAGACCTCAACCTCCTTGACACTTCAAAGAAAAGAACTAGCAGTGCCGCTCTTACACCTCCTCACAGTAGCAAAAATATATTTTCTCCACTATTAACTCTACAAGACACCGGTGAAATGAACAATATCACAGAAAACGACAATACTCAGCAACCACAGGTCAGACGTAAAATTCCACCTATCTATGTTTATAATATTTCCGATTACGGAAACTTTCATACTTCTTAAGATAATAAAACATTTGACAATTTCTCCATTGAAAATACAAAATCTGCCCTAAAAATTAATTTAAACTCGATTGATGACTATAGAACCGCAACTAAAAATTTCGACGAGACCGAAATTGAATACCACACATACCTACTTCCTGAAAATAAACAACTTTCGGTAGTCATTAAAAATCTACCTGTTAACAAATCTGAAGCTTGTAATTACAATAAATGTCAAGAACTCAAATTTGAAGTCGCTTCAGTCACACACCTTCAAAACCAGTTCAAATCTCAAATTCCAATCGTAGCAGTTTTATTATCAAAATCATCTACTGAAATATTTTCTTTAAATAGAAAATAATTTTCTACATTGCATAATTATAGTTGAACCACGTAAGCTCTCCAAGGATATTCCACAATGTACAAATTGTCAAAGATTTTCCCACACCAAAAAGTTTTGCCCTCTACCATCTAGGTGTGTCAAATGCGCGGCTGACCATCACTACAGTCAATGTCAGAACTCAGAAACCAGCAGACGTCCCTCCAAAATGTGTGAACTGTAATAGTGATCACCCAGCTAATTATAGAGGGTGCACTTTTTGCAAATAAATATCAAAAAACCAAAAATAAAAATAAAACTTGTACAAATCCGTCCCATAGCAAAAATCACACAAACATAATACCCAACGCAAATACTCAAAATATACATTCAAACCAAGATAACACTAATATATGCATTACACATACGCCTCTGAGTGCTATAGTAATAGTAATAACAATAATTATAGAGGCAAATCAGCCAAATCCACAGATAACGATAGTGATTTTATGAAAACTCTTTTACCACTAATAACACATTTGTTACCCAATTAATGCAGAAAATAATACAAAACCGGCCAGTCATCATTAACAGCTTAAACTTAAACACCAATGGAGCTCCATAATACCTTATTATTTAACTGGAATGCTAACGGTCTTAAAAATCAAAGAAATACATTACTAGCTTTTCTTAATCATTACAACATTCATATCGTCTGCAGTACTGAAACGCATTTTTTGCTTACAGATAAAATTAAATTCCCTGGCTACAAAATTGATAGCACTGATCGTATTACACAATCTCGTGCCATGGGCGGAGTGGCTATTCTAGTACGGAACAAAATCAAACAACAACAATTGCCTACACTCGTTCTGCCCTACCTAGAATCCGTAGCAGTTTCCATTAAAATAAACAATAAGCATATAACGTTCGTCAGTGCGTATCAACGTATCAACCAAATGCTTATCGCAGATTATGAAAAAATCATGAACTTAGATATCTCAGTTATAATTGCCGGTGATTTAAATTCTAAACACATTAACTGGGGATACCGTGTTACAAATAGACATTTTAATATTTAAATCTGTCCCATTTGTATGAGTGCATGAACCTCTCATCGAACTCGACTCGGATCACATACCTGTTAAAATAACGATTAACTCTCCCTCTTTTTTCCGCTGTACAAACAACTCATTAATTAAAAGCAAACCAGACTGGAATAGATTCTCTAACCACTTAAATCTAATCTGAAAATACCAACAAGTGTACCTACCACTCAAATAGCAGAACAAACAGCCGATCATCTGACGGACGTCATAACAGAAGCCGCTCAGTCCTGTTCTAATTCCGTACCGCAAAATATACACAGTCCTGGCATTATACCACACTCCATATCTTCACTTATTCGTCGTAAACATTTAGCCAGGTGCACCTGTCAAAATCATAGGAACCCAGCAGATAAAAAAATACTAAACCTACTCACAAAAGAAGTTCAGCAGCTTTACAAAATTACCGTGTATCTCATACAATAGTTACCTGTCTCACATGTGACCGGGTGAATCAAATTTGAGGAAAGCAACAAAAAGGCTATTAAACCAAGATATCAACACCATTCCCCCTCTTCGCACTGTTGCAAAACTTGTCATATCCGATCAAGAAAAATGTGATGTGTTTTAAACATGCTGTACAATACCTTTTCTCCCAACCATATCTGTATCCAACGCAATGACATAAGAGTAAAACACACCTTAGAACTACCAAAATTGATGAAATCCAAAATTCGTAACTTACGTAACGCCAAATGAAATTAACAAATTATTAAAAAATCTCCCGAACAAAAAAATCACTGGCGTCAAGACAAAATACAAACAAGACAAATTACAAACCTTATGCTAAAAAAATTACCACAGAAAGGACTAGTGTTTATGACCACATATTATTTAACTCTTTACTGGCGTCTTGGTTACTTTCCGCCCAAATGGAAGTTGGCAAACATAATACTAAACAAACCAGGGAGGACAAATCCAATCCTGTAACAATCCAATAAAGTGCTACGTATTATCGCCAACTCACCTTGGTTTATAAGGAACGTAAACCTACACAAAGACCTTCAGATCCAGGAAATCACAGACCACATTAAAGCCTCATCAAAAAACTTCCATACCGCACTGCTCAACTCTCCTGGCTCACTTCACTATCAACTCCACGTACATCTGCCTCAACGCAGATTAAAACGTGGACGTCCGCATGACCTTCTGGTTTAACAGCTCCACATTATACAGCAGCTGTTGCTACTCTTAGCGTCAATATTAAGCTATACAACTTGTCGTTTATTATATCTGTTACACTTTTATATTGTTATTATTATTATTATTGTTATCATTATTATTATTATTATTACTTAAATTATCATATTCAAATTGTTAAAAATGTACCTTTATAATTAATATCAATAGATGTAGATAGCCATGGCTAGGAATATCTTATATTATCTTAATAAAAAAAAAAATAAATAAATAATTATTAAATGAGTCACAGAGATTGTAACTATTAATACCTTTGACAATAATCAGTGTTTTTTGTGGGGGAGTTCACTATTTGCGTTACTGAACTTCGTCTGCTGGTCAATTTGAACTCATTTTTGTCATCTCTTTAGCTATCAATACAATCAAAGATAATATAATATAAATCATAATATTATACTAAAAATATTATCTAGTCTTCAAAGTATGTTTTGTACGATGTTATCCATTTGGCGTAAGACAATAAATTATTATTTCAGAAACGGTTTTGAAAATATTTTTTCCGAATGATTTTAATTTGTGATGAAACAACAATTATTGGAGCAACTATATTTATACGATTTTTATCTTAATAATTTTTAAGTTTTTGCTCTGTTGAATGACAATATAGATTTTATTTTCAAGTTCTAACACAGAATATTATTCACAGTATTTCGGTACGACGGTACATAAAAAATTAATTTCAATTTGTACTTTAGTTGTTGAAGTATTAAAATTTTGTTGGACGGAGTAGTGAACCAATGTGTTTTCGGGTAATTTATTTTTGGCCACTACACTCCGCAAAACCTAAAATTTAAATATTTAGAAGTTAAAACACATAAACTACTAAAAAAATTAAAATTTTATGGATACATCGAAGTACTCCAAACAATATTCTGCTTTGGGATAAAATGCATGTTATCATTAAAAAATTTTAACGATAATTTTAATAACTGAATATGATGTAAAAAATATATTTTCAAAAGTAAGTGTAAGTTAAGACGTTATCATAAGACATGTCATATTCAATATCTTCTCCAAAATATTAATTTTAACTAGTGATATAATGTCATTTAATATTTATGTAGTAGGAACCTATTATTTTAATTTATATTAATAGTTAATACCTACCTATCTAATATAATACCTGATTCAGAGTGATCTAACGTGAGACCTTCACAGTGTTATTCATAGTCATTAGTTAAAAACTAAGGTTTAACCTAAGTTTAAATAAACTTGGTTTAATTCTTAGACCTTGGTTAAACTCGGGTTTAATAATGTATTATTCATAGTCAACATAGTCAATGGTCTAGTCCTAGACTAAGTTTTGAAAAACTGTGGATTGTCTTTGGTTTATTATAAAACACCATAGAGACACCCAAATTTCCATATTATTACTAATTGTTGCCAATCTAAAAAAAAAAATAAGGTAAAAATACATTCTATGTTCTATTATTTTAATGCCGAACGTACAGTTTTTCCAGGTGTTTTTTTTCATGTCATTGGTATCGTTATATTTTATGAATTGTGAAAAATATTTTTATATTACCTATATAAATTTATTTTTAGTTTCGTGTTCTATCTTTGAGTTTAATAGTGGTATTTATTTATTTAAAATTATAATTTAAATTGCGTGATTCTATTTTAAAATGGATAAACAAAAAAGGGTTAATTGGGAATTTGGAGAGAAAGAGCTACTAACTGAAATCGTCACACCATTTATCAAAGTGATTGAAAATAAAAATTGTGACACAAATACGAATAAGTCAAAACTAGAAGCGTGGTCACAACCTTATAAAGAATATAATGGTAATTCAAAAACTCAAAGAACATAACTACAAATTAAAGGCGAATGGAAAAGATTGAAAATAGTTGCCAAAAAAAAATGTTTTGTCGTATAAACAAAATTTAAAACAAACTGGAGGAGGTCCTCCACCAGAATCAATAAACAAATTAGACATGACATTGCAGTCTTTAATGCCAATGGACTTTATTAAAGATGCAAACGATTTTGACTGTGACAATGACGGCTCAGCTAAAAAGGTATAGTACCTATTCATAATTTTATAATATTGTAATTATTGAGTTTTTTTTCTGAGCTATTTATAGACATTTTAAACTAATTTTTTAACAATTTTTAAATAATTTAGATATACAAATGACTGAATACGAAGCAAATTTATTAAAAATGCAAAAAGAAAAATTTGAATTAGAAAAAAAGTTTTTGACTTTAGAACATCACCAGCGCTCACTTATAAACGAAGCAAAATTGAAGTATTATGAATTAAAAACAAAACAGTTGGAGAACTTGAAGCAGATTCAAGATTTAAACTGTTCTGATTAAATATAGGTATCAGATTACATTTAAAAAAAAAAAATTAATCTCGTCATCTACTTATATTACGCAACAATTCTGTTATACCTATACCTATATACTTCAATAACTATTATAAAATGCTAAACATTATTCTTTATTATATTTATAACTATGTTATCAGTTATTTAGATATCTAAGTAATAACATATAGCCTATGATATAGGTATTATGTAATTTGTTTTTAAACTATTTATTTACGACTGTTACAAAAATATATTGTTAAATATTAATATGATAATTATTAGATACTATAAAATATATTATGAGATTTGTTTTTATTTACAAAAGTTACAGAATAAAATAAAAAAAGTTGTAACTAATATATTATTATAAAATGTTAATTTTATATTCCTTAATCTTTTATACTTTCCTATAACTAGTATTACTTAATTAAATTTAAGACGAGTGTTTTTTTTTTATGAAATTTGAAATTTAAAAAAAAAACGATACAAATAAAAGATCAAATAATGTACTTAAAAGTTATTGCTTATGAACTCTTTACATACCTAATAATATTAACTAAATTACCTATATATAATATGATATTATGTAATCTACCTACCTATAATATACATATTACATACGTTTAATTCAAAAACTGTCGTATGTAGATACTGCGCTCTTGCTACATTTACCTCTATTTTGGTTTATCTGTACAAGTACAACATTATAATTGTCCTCATCTGCAGAACTATCACTTTCACTTTCTTCATAATAATCATCATCTCCACTACTATCTTCTGTGCTACTATTGTTGTTATAGTTAGGATTTATATTATTGATAGGTATTTAAGTGTTTTTTTTAAAATGTAATTTCATGTTGTGTAACACTGATAGTGCAACTATAGCAACTTTGGTGTTCTCGAGACTTATGGTCATTCCTCGCAATAGACAGCGAAAACGTTGCTTGATTTGTCCAAATAATCTCTCAATTGTATTTCTTGCTCCGATTGTGTGTAATTGTATTGTCGCTCCACATCGTTTGGAGGATTAAGAATTAGTGTTAACATATATGGACTACAAGCATAACCACTATCACCAAGTAAGATACCATTTATTGATCCATTTTCAAATTGTTCCTTGATAAGACTTTCGTTCCAAATCCTTGAATCGTGTGCACTTCCTCTCCAACGAGCAATTACATGCAATATATGACAATTTGCATCACAAATTACCTAAATTATTAATTATTAATTATTATTTATAAGTATTACATATAATTTTAACATGATTTTAATTTTATATTTTATAAACTTGAATATTTGAATAAAATGCATGTTATATGGCTTACTTGAACATTTATTGAATAAAAGCCTTATCTATTAATGTACAATTGAGCGTAGTCACCTGCCACTTTTTTGATCCGTTTATGTGTACAATCTATCGCACCAATTATCGAAGACATATTAAATTTTCTAGGAAAATTTACCTTTTTAGTAGCTAACTCTTCATTGGTCAATGGGAACTTAATATAATTATTTTTTAATGATGCTAGTGCTCTACAAACTTGACTCAAACATCGACTAACTGTCGGTTGACTAACACCATGTAAGTCTCCATTGTCGTCCTGAACCTTAAATTATAATAATATAGGTACTTTAATTTGTTTTAAATTCATAAATGAACTATTACTATAAACATTAAAACATAATCAATAATTACTTGTCCTCTAGCTAAATAACGAAGTGCAATCAACAATTGTAAGCTCGGCGAAATTGGTTTTCCGCGATCGTTAACTGCTCGAGGTAAATAGTCACGAATTTCGTTTACGATTTGTAAGCATTCTGCTTTTGAAAATCGATACTTTTTACGAAATTCATTATTAGTAAGTTCGTTGTAAGGATTTTTACGAATCTTATATATTTTCCGCTGTCTAATAAAATGCACATTTCTTAAATTTCTTACGCGTCTAACATTTTGTACATTACCGATATCCATTTTTCGTAAGTATAAAACGCACAAGTTTTGAAAACACGAATGAATTAAATTAAATGATAATACATATTATAAAGATAACAGTGATTTTTGTAATAAACCAGCTTTAAACCTAGTATTTACCTAGTTTATAACTCAGAGGTTTATCGTTAAACTTAGTCAATGGTCTTGGTCTAAGTAAAGTTTATCGTCTATGAATAACAAAAAAGATACACTACTACTATTAAACCATTGTTAAACCAGGTCCAATTTGACTATGAATAATACTGTCAAAGTTTGTTTTTGCCCCCCCCCCCTTCCCACAAGACATAATATATTCATTAATTATTTTCAAATTTTAAATGTATTAAGTAGGTCCCCTATCTTCATCATAATAATTATAAATAAATATTAATCTTTCTTGTGTATTATATAATAATATATTTGTTATAAACCAAAATATGAATTAGAATGTTAGAATGTATTTTGCTCTCGGCAATCGCCACTGTGTGAATGTGTATGTTTATGTTATTGACTGCTTTTGAAAATACACTATTTACCTTTCAACTATATCGAATATTTCAACTAAATTTAAGTGCTAAATTATAATTATTTACAAATATTTCTAAAAAATTCAATACAACTAAAATGTAATTAGGTATCACGTAATTAGGTATTTGGTAGTCCAAACTTCAAGTGACATATAAATAAACAAATTATTTTGTCGTATCTATTTTTGAGTAGGCTTATTTAAAAAAAAATATAGCATACATTTTTGTGCATAACTTAAAGTCCTTGTTTTTTTATTCAAACTTTAACTCACCAATTAATCGTTTTATTTTTTCATCTTGTATCTTTATCTTTGATGACATTTCTTTTTTTTTGTCTAGTTTATCGTTTAATTCATCTTTGTATTTTTCTTGGGATTTATCAATATTCTGCTTTTCATTTTCTAACTTTTCATTAAACAGTTCTATAAAAAATTTAAATTTAAGGTTTTGGCTTAACATTTATTTTTAATATTGTCTAACTTTGTTTTCGTAATTGTATATTCAGTCTATTAATACTGATTTTCTTTTCCTTATTCTCTTCGTTTTTTTCCTCAACACTTTGACAACTTTTGTATTTCTACGTTCAACTTTTCTATCTCCTTCATGATTTCGGAACGTGACATTTCATCTACCATGTTGACTAAGTAATGGACTGTAATGAATATTGCAGAAAAAATAAATATGTTTAACGTTCAGACCTTAATGATATGTTGCCACAATTTATTGTTAACAATGTATAGTTAATTTGTATTAAATCCATTTTTCTATTCTGATTGTCTAATTGACGAACATAAATAAATTCAAAATAAAATGTAAAAAAAAAAAACCACTAGCGGTTATCACAACATCAATGTATTATAATAAAATTTTATTTGAAAATTGGAAAACAAACGGTTGTATATTAAACAGTGTTTATCGACTAGGTGGAAAAATGAAACACAACAATAGGAATGGTGTAAACTTATACCTAGCAACAAGAAAAAATATGAACATTTTCCGTGCACAGAGAATTTAAAATAAAATAAAATTTGTCATCATTATGATTAAAAATATGTACTTGGCCGACGATTCAAACGGACTGGTTTAAAAATACAAATTTTACAGTGTTAAATTTCTCAAATTCGTTCGTCAATGAAGATGTTGTAACGTCACAGAATTTCGAGTCCTTTATTATATAACACACGAGCATACCCATTAGTATTATTGCCGACAGGTGACATACCTCTATTATAGTACCATTATCAACAGAACAGATATCGTGTGCCGATACGTTAACCATTGCTATGTTATGTAATACAGGTCCCCCACCGGCAGCAGTGTTCACCATCTACGACTGCAGTACTCCGCCTTCACTGCCGTTCGGCGCCTCTGTCGTCGGTACACATGACGCAGTGCTTTCTGCTCAAAAAAGCCTATTATTGTTAAAATTCCCACACTGACCTATCCCACTCCACAACGAACGGAAAGATTCCGCCGCCGAGCTTCATCCCCGTGTTCCAGCGTCTCAAGCTCGTCACTAATTTTTTCACGGCCCGCCCACCAAGACGTCCTTCCGGTCAACCTCGATACACTTGCGCCTTCCACACCAAACACCTCGTGATCAATCACCGCACACCACGTCCGTGATTTTTCATTATCATTATTCAATCCCGGCCACATCGCAGAGATGATGGGCTAAGCGGCTACTATGGGCCCAAGGATGGGGGAAGTCACCGAACTCCAGCGCCATTTCAGACCAGCTAAATAGTCAAAATGTTGTAATATGTTGTATTTTTACCTCATGTAACCCCCTGAACTAATGTTAGCTTTCGAGGCTCACGCCATGGGTCCTTATTTTATTTTTCGGTTAGTCCTTACAGCTCCGTCTGTCGCAAGCCCCGCTCATAGAACTAAAAAAATGTCTTATTCTATTTTAAAATATATTTCACACCCACTCCCGGTAATCCTGCGAAGGGCACTGCGAGCTATTCAGTCTGTGGTTTCCCGTGTCCGGGAGGGTGTCAGTTTGAAATAAAATAAAAAAAAAACATCACAAAACACGTCGTTCGACGGTGTATGATTTATTGTAAATTAAAATATGATAGTTTGCGACAAGCCCCTAACTTCCCCGTAATATCGTCCAACCCTGTGCTCTAAAAAATATTATTACTATTAACGATAATGCCAATATTATTTTTCTCAACGATAGTGCCAAAATTATTATTCTTAACGACAACGACATTATTCTTGTTAAAGACCTAAATTATTATTATCATGTGAGTATGTCCAATTTATTATTATTACTGTCTTGTAAAATACACACCAACTCATTACTCAAAACCTAATCTTATTCTTATTTTATTATTAACGCAACTTTTTCAAATGTAATTTATAAATCTCTGGCATTCAATTACCACCGCGTATTTAAAACCTACGAGTTCTACCGACTGGGCCTTAGGGCCTACACGTGGTGCAACTTTTAGGTCACGAGAGAGGTGTTCCCCCTCACTCGTGGGTAGTTTCTGTGAAGATAAAAACTCCAGATTCTTACAATATCTCTACTTACTGTTGTTGCTTATATTAAAATATATTTGAACTGTTCTGTTATAATTTTACTTTATAACATTTTTAACATATTTTGGATTATAATAAAAAGTACAATTTGTATTTTCATCCAACAATGGAAAACATTAATACTGTTTCGGCTCAGTTTGTAATTGAATAAAAATATAAAAAATGAACTAGTGGACTGTATAATTGAATGATAATAATTTATTTATAATAATTTTATATAATAACGACTATTTTAATTGTGCTAATAATATGTGATATTTATTATTATTATTGTGATTATTACTTTACGTCGCATATATTGACCAGCATTATTACCGATGCGTCGTCAAGAACAAACAATATTATTACTTTACTTCTCACGATAACGACGATTGTCGATAATACTTATTACCTGTACGGCTGTACATTGAACATTTTTTGGTCATTGAAAAATGACTTAGGTAAATGTTTTTTTTACTGATTTTCACAAAGCGTTTGATCTTGTTGACCATAAAATACTAATTGAAGCCCTATATAAAGCTGGATTTGGGGAGCCCGTTCTATCTTGAATTAAATCATATTTATCTGGTATGTTATTACTTTATGTCGCATATATTGACCGGCATTGTCACCGATGCGTCGTCGAGATCGAACTGGCAAATCGTGCCTTTTATTTACCGACCCAGGGCGACATAATAAATACTATCTACGTCCTCACAATAACGACGATCGTCGATAATACTTATTACCTGTACTTTGAACAAATACATTATACTAATTATTTATAACACTTAATTGTTAGATTCTGAGCCGAATGTAATAATAATTGATTACGAGTGTCGACATTAACTTGGTTCTACTTTCACCTGTTAAAATTAAAAATATTAATAATACGAATACCATGTTTACTTTATTTGTGATAAGTGACCACATAAATTAATTTCAAAATTGGTATGCCTAAAATAATGGTAGGTAATTTAACATTAAGGAGGGGTCAAGTATGAAGTATTATCAGAACTTGTTGCAACCAACTTTTTTTTTACCCCAGGTGTGTGAAATTGATATTCAAATAATACATATATAGACAAAATATTGAAGTACTAAAAACTTACTTCCTCTGTTTTTTCTGTGGGTATCTCTTCGGGAGCTTTGACCAGTTTCTAAAATGTAAAAGTTTTAATTACTTATATTACAGAAATAATATTACCATGTACTATGTGTCTATGTATCATGAATTTAAATAGGTACTAAAAACTTATTTCCTCTTCTTTCTGGTTTAATTTTTCCCTCAGATTTAACTTACAGGATTTTACTAGTTTCCAAAATATAAAAGTTTTAATTATTTATGCTATAGAAATAACATTACCATGTATGTATCATGAATGGTAGGTACTATACATTGCATTACTACTTTTTTTGTTGTTGTTGTAAGTATGCAATTCTTATTTAAATAACAAATATAGATATATTGAAGTACTAAAAACTTACATTCTCTCTTATTATTTTTAATTTGTCCCGCAGATCACCCATCTTACGGGATTGGAGAAGTTTCTAAAATTTAAAAGTTTTATACTTAATACTTATAATTTTAAATAAGAACCATACATAAATATTGTTAGGATAGGTTTTAGAGTACTGTCTAGGATTTGGCATGGTTACTATATTTGTAACAATGAACTAGCATATTTGAACTTTCTAATCATGTAATTTCGTTAATTTATTGAAATCATGGTACGAATGATGTGTATTAATTTTAAATAGTAATGGCAGTAATTAATCGAGACCATATAATTTATAGTAAGTAGTTATTATTATGTACCTATACTGTAATTTACAATTCAATAATTACTTTTTGTGGTACTGGAGGGATATACCGACATTCACCACCTTGAATGTTATAGCATATTTGACATCGTATTATAAACAAAATTTGTATTATTCTTTGAATTCAATAAAAACTGCATAAAAAAAATAATATTTTGTTAATTGTACTAACTTGTAGTTGTGCAACGCTCAAAATTTATTTTATTGCATATTTTGGATTCTAAAAAAAATATTGGTGGTCGAGACATTTGATATGGTAGTTAAGCCACTTGTTGTGGTGTTTGGGCCACTGGAGTTGGTGGAATGGCATCCTTGCTGTAATAATAATTATTTACTATAGTAGACATCTGTATAGAATATAATTAATGGATGTAATGTAATAAATCACAGCAATTTTTATGAATCTCTAACTACAAAATAATTTGAGAATGTTTGTGTTTAGACGATTTTTTTTTAAATTTTACTTTCAACACTTTAAAAAATATTGGAATTGTTTTCTATGTTTTTGAATTGGGATATGATTAACTTATGAGGAATCTTGTACCGCATTTTCATGGTTTTTTATCGACAATATTTAGTTAAAATAAAAAACTAAAACTGATTAAATTATTTTTGAACAATATTTCGACTAATCGATATGTCATAGCCCCAAAAATATTATTCTCTATATTTTTGTAGTACGTGATTACTAAAAACATAAAAAAAAACTGATTTTGCGTGTAAATAATATTATAAATTTTAAATAATATTGAATAGGTAATTGTTTTTGTTGCTGACATCATTTTAATATTTTGTTGAATAATAATTTATGATTATTTTTAATTTTATTACATTATAAAGTACAATTACAAATTAGAAAATCAAACTTTAATGGAATAAAATGTCCCTAATAAAAGTTTAAGTATGTACCTATTATTTTTTATTTCTATTTTATTTAGCTATTTAAATTATAATTATTCAGGAGTATTAATCTGAGTATAGGTCTTATTGTGAACTAAGTTGTCAGTAAATATTAAATTTATTAAGAGGACGTGATACCCGTATGCGTTGTCTCCGTCTTACAAATGTACAATATGGCAAAAAATGGTTTTGGGCGGGATAGAACCCCTCCCTTTTTATTTATAGTAGAATTACCAAAATTCCACAGCGCATAGGGAACAACCATATCTGTGTCGTAGCGTTTTTATTTTTTTTTATAGCATTTACCAATAATTTTTAATAATTAAATAAAAAAAATCCTAAATCTCTTAAGCTGATAAATTTTATTTTATTTATGTTACCCAAATAATAAAAACCCTACGACACAGATAAAGTTGTTCCCTATGCGTTGTGGAAATTTGGTTATTCTTCTATAAACACCGAAGGAGTGGTTCTATACAGTTGTTTGCTATGTTGTACATTTTGTAAGACGGAGACAACGCTTACGGGTATCACCTCCTCTTAACATAATTCTATGTTGTTTCAAATCGTGATATAAAACCAAATAAAATTATTGTTAATATTTGAAAATTATTTATTACATATTATTTTATTTAATGATAAGTATATATTTGTAACTTAATATTAATAATGTGGCAATTACACTGATTAGCTTTTTAAAAATATTAGATCAATCAATGTCACGTGGTTGTGAGTAATATTGTAGTCTGGAGTAATATTGTTTTCCAGGATTGTTCGTCTGGGATTTTTATTCCGCAATTCACTGTCTGTATAGTGTATATTTTAGTTAAGTCTTCAGTGCATAATAGGTATTATCCATTAGGTATACCTACTACTAATTTATATAATATAATCTTACCAAGATATCAACATTAAAAGTTTCTTTAAAACAAATACAGGCATACAGCTAATAATGTTTACCTACTATTTAGCATATTTATCATACGCAGTATAAAATATTTTTTAACTTTAAATAAAAATTAAATAATTTAATGCCCACCAGCCACTCTCCCTAGTTGCACTTATGTTTACAAAATTCGATTACCAACACCATTACATTTATCTTTAGCCATTTTCCAACAATAATAAAATACCTAGGTACCATTTTCCTTAAAACAAAATAAAAATAAAGAAATCTAAACTATATTCAAACATTAGGGATTAAGAATAAAAATATATCTTTTTAAGTCGTTAGATAAACAAAAAAAAATGAATTTACCTTTTATTTATTAGTAATTATAATAAATTAAATTAAATATGTACGTATTTTATTAGGCTTAATTGAAGTTACTACGTTACGATGTTATCGACTGTTACTCTCAATTTATAGGCTATAATGTCCGTCCAGTTTCCATTGAAAACTA